TTTCTATGATAAGTAGATAACTAACTTTCCAAGATTGAAATTTCCCATTTTCTTTGATAATCTATTTCGCAAAATTAGGTACTATTTCCCAAAAAGTGGATAACCAACTTACCAGGAAAGTATATATTTCCCATTTTCTATGATACAAATTACCCATTTTCTATGATAATCTATTTCGAAAAATTGGGTAATGTTTCCCAAAAAGTCGATACTCTATCTTAATAAGATGACTTATTTTTGGGGCAAGGTGAAAATAGTTCAAAGTCCATGAATGGCTGTATTTTGACTTTGGAAATAAAGAAACTTTCAGGAGTTACTTTTTATTTTGTAATACATTTGTTGTGCTCTGCAAGACTAGTCTTGATGAGCACAAGTAGAAAATACATAAAAGTATAAAATTGGTGCAGCTTTAGTTTATGAAGACTTACATACTTCAATTAATCAAGTATATGTTTTAAGACCATCACATGTGACAGTACAGCATTACTTTATGGCAAAATTTCTAGCAACGTAACATTTTGAAGTTAAACTGAATTTAAATAAAATTCCACATTTATTTGTAATATTTCCTGGCTTTTCTAGCTCAGTAAACACCCTAATAGCCTATATTTATGAGTGTATATAAAGGCCATTTAAAACTACGAAGTAAGAGCGTAACCTACTTAAATAATTTCAAAGGCAATTAATTAACACTAATTACTCTTAATTTTTAAATTGTGAACCCAGATAATTAATCAAAACTAGTAAACAAACCACAATGAGACTAGCCCGGACCGTAAGTTGTAACTGCAGAAAGAGTTGGGTTTCTAATGTGTTGCAGCAAGAGTCCCGTTTGCCAGAAGACATTCTCACGGTTGTTGTGTCCTGCATCTTCATATCGCCGTCCTGGAATGAATAATATTTTAACAACTGAACTAAAAAATTAAGAAGTCAATGTAGTTTTTGTACACCTACACTATACAGCACTCTTGGAACATCACAGTTCTTGAACAGCTGGGCACAACTCGATGGTTGGCAGGTCTGCTTGTGAAACTACTCCATATTTCATATGTTTTAACAATAAAACTACCTCGGCAATCTTCTCATTAGTTTCGTTGTAATGCACGAGTAAGTGCGAGAACTTTGTGGGGAGTGTACAGCAATACGTAATATACGTTATGTATATGTACAGTAATACTAAATATTATGTATAGTATACCGTTACTGTCCAGTATATTGTACAATAATTCATTAAATCTTGAAACAAATTGAAATACTGTACAGTCTTACGGTTAAAGTAAACCAAATTTTTTCATTGAAGTTTCTTGACTAATGAATTAAAATAAATAAAAACTGCCCAAAATCTTACCTCGATGGACGACACAAGGAACTTCATGTATCCTTAATTATGATCACCGAGGCAGCAATCTGGTCTTTGTCTTCTACACCTTTAACACAACAGTAATCAACACAACCAACTGGATCCATCTGTTAAGAATATGAATAGAAAATAGATACAAAGCTCCAAAATAAGAAACTATATAAAAACCATTAAAATAAAGTAAAATATGAGTACTGTACTGTACTGTATGTGGTGGTATTGTATTTTCACTCCCAAGACCAAATTTGGCTTTGCCAGAAGTTAAATCTCCTCAATTGTAACAACTCCTCTAATACCACTTCTGTTGCAAATGGTCAACAGACATGGTCAATACACTTCAGAAACTCACAAATCATATTGCACTGCCATTAGGGTTTAATTATCTATAAACCTTTAATATTGTGACCGATTTTCCCCGAGAAAAAACCTTACCATTGGGTTTCAATCCCACCAACTACAATGAGAAAATCCTATATTTCTTATAAGAGCAAAACTGCAATTTTATCACACCCAGAATGTTTCAAATAAAATATTTTTTTTTTACTTCAAACTAATTTTACCATAAATAAAAAGTTGCCAAAAACTGAACCCTAATTTTTGTCAATAAAAAAAAAAAATTATTCTTACCTTTAATAAAAATGACCCCAAATCCCACAAACGGAGGACAGCTTCAATACCGTCAATGTTTACGATCAGGGAGGCAGTAACGAGGGGGTTGTCCTGTACCTTCAACAGTGACAAGCAATAAATTGTATAAACTAGAATAAAGACTAAATATTAACATGAAGTATAAAAAGTAGAAAAAAATATTAAAAATTAATGTAAGATATGATTAAGTTATATAAAAACTGGAATAAAGACGTAATATTAATGTAAAATACGAATATTAACGTAAAATATGAAGTTGTATAAAAACTACAATATAGATTAAATTTTAACGTAAACTAATAAGTTGTAGAAAAACTAGTATAGGACTAAATATTAAAATATGAATAAATAGCAACAAAACTAGAATAAGACTAAATTTTAACAATATACTGTAAATAAATTTTAAACTAGTATACAAGACTAAATATTAACAACATATTATTAATGTAAATAAAAACACTAGAAAAATGAATTCATATCAACTTAAAATAAATGAAATGTTTAATGACAAGAATAAAGACTAACTATTAACGTAAAATATGAATGTTATATAAAAACTAATAATTACTAAATATTAACGTAAAATATCAAATTGTATACAAAATAGAATACATTATGAGCATCAACGTCCAATATGAGCATCAACGTACAATATGAGCATCAAGTTGCAGAAAAACTAGAATGAAGACCAACTATTATTGTAAAATATGAATAAGTGGAATAAAACCTAGAATACAAGACTAAATATTAATGTAAACTATGTATCAAGACTAAATACAAGTATGAATAATTTGTATAAAACAATTATAGAAAGTTTCCACCTGCTCAATTATTACCCAGGACGAAGTAAAACTTTAATTTATCTTGGCACAAAAGTACACTAAAAACAAAGTAACGTGAAAATAACAAAAGTACCAAAATACTTGCACGAATACCCAAATTAGTAAAATTATCGTAAAAGTAATACAAAAACTACAGAAAAGACCTTAAAGTCTTTAAGGTAACAAAAACTCATGAAAATACCAATGTTCCTAAAAGTAACAAAATTAATTACAAACAAAATTCCAAAAAGTAACGTCAATTAACAAACTCCACAAGTAAAACGACTCAAAGTATCAAAACAATCCACACGAAAGTAATAGAATATCTCAAACCATTTCCTTAAAACTGTTCCATTGACGATTTCCGACAATAGTTACAGAAATAAGCAGTAGCTATTATTGATCAATGTTTTTTACTGTACACCACCATAAACTTGCACCATACACCTACACGTGCATCGTATGAACATGAGTCCGCAACAGGCCGTTTAGCCTGTAAGCTTCTGTCGAGAGTTACTACCACGATCATCCATGAATCTATCTAGCCCCCTTTTAAAACGTTCCAGCATTCAAGGACTTACTACAAAGTTGCTAAGCTTGTTTCACTCATCCACCACCCTATTTGTGAACCAGTTCCTTCCTATCTCCCTCCTAAACCTAAACTTATCCGACTTCATTCCGTTGCTATGAGCCCTATCCTCCTGCTCGGATATTATATTTACTTTACGACTCCTTTGATTTCTTTCACCCACTTAAATACCTCTATCATATCTCCCCGCACTCCATCTTTCTAGGGAATGCAAGTTTAGTTTCTTTAACCTATCCTGATATGGAAGGTTTCTAAGTCCCGGAATCATTTTCGTCATTCTTCGCTGCACCGACTCCAGTGAATTGATATCCATTCTATAATAAGGGCACCAGAACTGAACAGCATAAACGAGGTGTAGCCTGACTAGCGCAAGCTATAGTTGCAATATGACCTCTGCACTAATTAAACTTCTAGATATAAAACCTAATAGTTAGCCTCATTTCGAACATTAACGCACAGTTTTCTAGGCCGTAGGTCCGGGCTTCAAGTACCCCCAAGTCTGGCACAAATCGACTTCACTAGGTTGATGTTAAGGCTGTATACATTGACAGTATTTGTTCTTCCTATATTAAGTACGCTGCACGTGCTGGTGTCGAATACCATTTGTCATTTTTCTGACTACTCCTGCCGTTTATTTATATACTCCTTTAGTGCATTTGCATCCTGCCCCGAATTAATCTGCCGCCCTATTCTGGTGTCATCCGCAAACTTGCTTATGTCACTGCTGATCCCAGTATCTAGATCGTTTATGTATATTACGAACAAGAGTGAGCCCAGTACCGACCCCTGGGGAACCCCACTGGTTACACAGCCCCACTCCGATTTAACACCATCTATGCTGACCCTCTGTGTTCTATCGGCGAGCCATGATTTTATCCAATTTCAAACTTAACCCTCTGATACGGTACTCAAACGGTTTGCTAATGTCTAAGTAAATAACATCGTAATTTTCGTCATTATCTACCACCTCGAAGACACTACTAACCTGCACCATACACCACCCGATCGTGCATCAATAACTTCATAATTAGCACAACATTTAAATTAAGGTGTAACTTAATAAAATAAAACGAGACATCACAGTGTCTACAGCCAAAATATCGTTAAATTCGTCCATATAAACACTTAAAATATGAAGTATATATTTAAATCTTCCCCAATATAAATTTAACCAAAATTAACACAAACCGTATAGGAAAAGTAGAGTATAGTGGACACCTCTGAGCGCGTTCCTCCCTCCTCTTTCACCCGACGACAACTGACCCACGCTACCTGACGCAGGTGACAACAACAATCTCTTGAACTCTCCTCTCTCCTTCCGTCCTGCCCTCCTCCTTACGCCATCTCGTCCGAATGATTAAATTTAATAAATACAAACTTCTTCGTATTTATAAATCTTAATACAAATTTATGGTAAATTAAATCATTTAGGAATATAAATATAATAAAAAAATAATAAACAATTGAAGAGAACAAATTTACGTAAACAATTAAATATAAAGACGAATATTCAAGTTTAAATGTCACAGGGGATTCGGACACAGCAAGGTTTAAACAGAGAAGCCAACTGTACCGATCTGTCGACTCAACATGGCAGCCAACATTACCTATGAACAATACACAATTAAATCTTAAATAATCATCAAATTTTAATAATTTTATTAGCAATTCATTAATTTTATTTAATATTATAATTTTAAAATTAGTAAATATTTAACTTGGGAAACTTTGCGGGGATAAATGTAGACGAATTACTCACTGACTACGATAATGAGGCAATTGGCTTGTTAACACTCATTAGAAATAGATAGATTTATTAGTTTTTAGAGGTGTTGTGTTTAAACTACACACACACACACACCGTCTACATATACACATACACAGTCTACCCACAATCTCCCTCACTCTTTATTTTAACAACCTCAGTTATTTTCAAGGTTTGTTTACGAAAATAAATTATGCCGTGTTTACATGTCAATTTCAACAGCTTATTCCTGGCTTTTTAACCTGTTTACATACGTAATTAACCTGTCATTAAAATTATAAGTTTTTATGTATTATTTAAAAAAAATTATTTACAGTCCAACAGTTAAAGAGTAGTTCCGCAGAACAAGCGTCATCTGAAAGTACTTAATTAGTTAAACCCCTTAAATTTCAATTCTGAGAAAAAAGTATATTTTGGTCAAAAATTTTGTAAGGTGTAAGACTTACATTTTTGGTGGTTTTGGGCCAAAAATTAGATTTTGCTGAAAATCACAGTATGGGTACTCCTGAGCTTGCTGATTATGTGGTCCACGATTCGATTGCAGAGTAATTAGTGGACAAAATGACCCTTTGGACAGTCAGTCACAGCCATGGAGACACCTCATTAAAATTTTCTGAATAAATCTTGGTATATGGCAGTGATTTTATGGTTGTATTCCTACGACCTATTGCGCCAATTGAGTAGGAAGAATATTTCAATTTACAATCGCGAATAACATTAAAATTCCTTCAGCGATTTACACATTCACATTGTGGGGTATAAGATGTTTGGTTCGTACTCAGGATGGGATGGAGAAAGGAAACTCACAATGTGCTCTCTATATACATGTTGTATTGGATGTACAATGCAGCTTGGTGCTGGGAAGGCAGCATGGTTACAAGCGTGATGTAGAGAGAGCTGGTTGGTGAGGACGCTCAGAGAAGGACAGCTTGTGGCTCGCCAGCGGGAGAGAGTACCGCTCGCCAGCGGGAGAGAGTACCGCCAGGCAGGCGGAGGAGCGAAGGCCGCCAGGCAGCGGCGGAGGAGGTGTTGCTGGCTGGTTGGTGTAGGTAGAAGGAGAGACAGATCACCACGAGGTCAGGTCTTAAATAGCGGGGGTAGGCGTGGCTTAGCAGTTGACCCCCGCTCCGTGGTGTATGGCGGCGCTGGTTGACCTAGACCACGAGGCATACACTGGGGAATTGGTGGGGTCGGCTAGGCAGCGACAAACAGCGTTTGTAGGGGAGAATTCCACTACAATACTCCCCCTTCCCTCCAGGCTGTGTAGGAGACTTGTTGTCTGCAGGGTTGCATAGCACATGTGAGGCAGAACGGGCGGTGCGTGCCTCATGTGAGACAACGGCGATGGCGTGATGAGCCGGTCGCTGGATACAACTGTCTAGATACACAATATCTGTGGGAGTAGAGAGGGAGAATAAGGGTGTGTGGAGACGATGAATGTTGTGCTTCCCTCACGGCAGGTACAGAGTCGACAGATGCGCCTGCTGGGGTGTGTGGACCTGGGTCAGGAGCAGGGGCTGTGTCAGCAGCAGCGGATGAGGGCTCGTGACAGCAGCTGGGTCCACGACAGCAGCAGGGTGCAGGACATTAGCAGGGAGTACCTGAGGGAGAAAGAGGGGTGTGTGGGTCCGCACTCAGGAACAGAGGCCGCATCAGTGGCGGCAGGGGTTACTGCTGGGCCGGGGTCGGCGTCTGAGGCAGGACGGGTGTGCTGGGGTCGTAAGAGGAGCGACTGTCTGCTTAGAGTAGCAGAGCTGCTCTAGGGTGTCTGACCTGCGGTGTAGAGACAGTAGCTGTAGAGCCGATGAGAGCTGCTTCTGGGTGGATAAGCCAGTCTTCCATGTTGCTTGAAGACTGGGAGCGTGATCAGTTTCTCCTCCATCCTGTGTGAGTGCGAATCTCCGGGAGTCACCATTTGTGGGGTATAAGATGTTTGGTTCGTACTCAGGATGGGATGGAGAAAGGAAACTCACAATGTGCTCTCTATATACATGTTGTATTGGATGTACAATGCAGCTTGGTGCTGGGAAGGCAGCATGGTTACAAGCGTGATGTAGAGAGAGCTGGTTGGTGAGGACGCTCAGAGAAGGACAGCTTGTGGCTCGCCATGCTCGCCAGCGGGAGAGAGTACCGCCAGGCAGGCGGAGGAGCGAAGGCCGCCAGGCAGCGGCGGAGGAGGTGTTGCTGGCTGGTTGGTGTAGGTAGAAGGAGAGACAGATCACCACGAGGTCAGGTCTTAAATAGCGGGGGTAGGCGTGGCTTAGCAGTTGACCCCCGCTCCGTGGTGTATGGCGGCGCTGGTTGACCTAGACCACGAGGCATACACTGGGGAATTGGTGGGGTCGGCTAGGCAGCGACAAACAGCGTTTGTAGGGGAGAATTCCACTACAACATCATTAAGATGATCTTGATGTTCTTATGCAATGTCCACTTTCCGCCGCTCAACAACGAAGGCCCGAGTGCCAACATGCTTTGTCACAGAGACGCGACACAATATGACCTGCACCCACGAAAAACATTTATTACTAAACATCGTGATGTTAAAAACTTTGTATATCTTGTATGACCCTGGTAACCCTTTTTCAAAATGCTGTATCCAAATACCCCTGTGTCAACAAAACTCTCAAGCTGAATATAAGGTCTGTCAACTAATGGGAGAATTTATCTCGTCTCCAAACACGGGAGGTCCCCGACTTTCGAACGCCCACTGACATGAACGGGGTTAAATTTGAAATTTCCAGTATTTTATTTACCAGATGAATTTTTTTTACTTTCATTTATTGTATTTTGTCATTCTATTTCTTCTTTTGTCTTAAATTATGTGATTTTAGATATATATATAAGGACTTAGACGATGATATAGTGAGATTTTAAACATTGTTTTGTAAGTAGGATATGCAAATACAGTAGTACTTCCGACTTACGTTTGTAACCCAAGGACTCCCTGTACATGACCCAAATATAGTCCTATGGTGATTACCATAAATATGTTGTTGTCATTGTTTTTCTTTGCAAAATTGTAAAATCATATACAGTACATCATATTCATGAGCAGTATATATAGGTCAGTGGTTCACATACATTGGAGTCATATTCTAATTGAAGACTAATGAGTGTGGGCTAGCAAATTTGGGATAACAGCAAGAATGCCCTCAAGCACCCCTGATTCAATATAGTTAATTACAAAGTTCAAGATACAATAAGTCAGGTGGCCATTGGGCAGGGTCACGACAACAGTCCCGGGAGCCAATGGTCTAGTGCGCCAGGTGCTTGTGCGAACCGTATCTGGGGAGTTCCGAAGGCCAGTGACCCGTGTACACCTTATTGAACACGCCACACCGTAAATCTTGGGCGATTGCCCAACGCCAGGAGTGTTATCGCCGCTGGCTTCAGCTACAGTGATGGCGTGCGATGCCATTAAATCTTTCGACCCGTGACCTCGCCAGATGTAGAAGTGTTTACAGACAAGTCCTGGTTCTGCCGAGTGAACTATCTTCGACTGGTGGCGGTGCTGCCCGCCCCTCCATGAGACATGCTGTGAAGACCAGCCTTCTCCTGTCCGAGAATTTGTGCTGGGACGATTTACGCAATACTGTTGTCTCTTGGAACACCATACAGTGGTCCCTCGGTTAACGAGCACAATCCGTTCCAGCAGGTTGCTTGTTAACCGAAACCATTGTTTTAATGGGTTTTTGGGTAATTGGTTCCAGCTCACCGAAAATTGCCTACATTCAACAAAAAAGGTAGAAAATTACACTTACTTTGAGGTGTGTATGTAGAAGGCTCCTGGATGATGATGCTGATGTGAATTTGAAGTGGGAGGTGGAGGAAGAGAAGGGAAAAGAGAAGGAAGTGGAGGTGGAGGAGAAGCATTTTACTGCTTCTTGGAAGGCGAGTCAGGAACCTCTGGACTGACAGATTCTCCACCATGAACATCCTCTCTCCTTCTTGAAGTGGAAGGCTGAGGGATAGCATCTTATTCCCTCTGCCTTTTACTGAAGAAAGTGTCAATTGTGGTCTGTGGGGCACCTCTCCTCCTCACCATTAACTTATGTTTAAAGAAGACCATTGTGTCCTCAACATGACACAAAGCTAGTTTAGTTTTTTCCACATCTGGGTGCTTTGAAGCCAGTTCCCTGAACTTCTCCAAGTGGTAAATCACATCTTTCAACTCTGAAGTTGACATGACATCACTTTCCATTTCCTCCTCACCATTGTCAGCCTCTAACATCTCATCCAGCTGCTTCAAGTCATCAGTAGTAAGTTCCTCCTCATGAGACATCACTTTCACTTCTTTAAATTTGTCTTTCTGTGCAAGAATTGTCGACACAGTTGATGTCGACTTGCCATATTCTTTGCATAGCGCATTTGTTCTAATGCCTTCTTCATGTTTCTTAATAATTTCCTGCTTGGTTTGGATTGAAATCGTTTTTCTTGATCTCTTAGGCCCCATGCTGGATTCAAACATTGTCATCACGTGATCTTTTAAGTTAAACTAGATGTAAATAAATAATATTTTCTTTAAAATAACACTGCACTGCGCTATATATTGTCAATAAGTAAAATCAATTTCAAAATTACCAATAATTTGCTTGGAAACACAGAAAAAAGCGTTTAGTTACAGAGTCTCAAGCAAGATGTTACCTCCACTGAAAACAGAGAGAGACTAACGCTTGTTTGGTGTGTTAACGGGCTGGATGGCGCGCCAGAAACTAGTGACCTTACCTTCAATTATGTTCAATAATTGTTAAAATGACAAAAAAATTTAATATTAAATTTTTTAAATTATTGAATGGTATAAACTTCTTGATATTTAATAAAATAGTAAGGAATTTAAGCCCTAGAACCGATTACTGTATTGGCGGACTAATACTACAGCTGGCTGACCGCCAAGTGCAAGCGAAAACATGTTGAGGTCGGCTCGTAAGAAACTCGTTAATCGAGGGATTGCTCGTTAACCGAAGTTAAGAATCTTATGGGAGGTAACTCGTTAACCAAAATCTCGTTAACCGAGGGGCTCGTTAACCAAGGGACCACTGTACTGATCTGCATTGACCCGCACTTGCAAGTACAGCCTAAGTGATGACATACCCCTCGGCACTGAAATATTGTTGACTAATTACGCCTACTCGTTTCTGCCTAACCTGGAGTAATAAGACAATGCAGAATGAAGTGAAGCTAAGATTAATAGAGTTATGAACTTTGTGTTATGTCAGTATGTTTAATAAATTGTAATAAGATAAAATTGTGTGAGACTAACTAATTATGTATCAGATGGATCACCTTGTAATATTATGAACGCCTTCTCCTCCGCAGGTTTTGACCACATCAATAAATATTGAATGCGTCAAAAGACGGTTTTCAATCATTCCCTTCGACTAGCCCGTAACCTGGACGTCCTTAACTAAGGCGTTAACAACTTCGTTGAGTTGGTTATTTGTTACCTTAAACCGGTGGTAATGAATCAATCTTCCTTTCCTTCGTAACCTCAGTAGCGGGCGGCAGCTTTGCCTGTACGAAAAGGAACACTCACATGGCAGTGTCCCGACCAGTGCTGCTGTAATGTATGACATTGTTCACTAATTACGCCTACTCGTTTCTGCCTAACCTAGAGTAATAAGACAATGCAGAATGAAGCGAAGCTAAGATTAATAGAGTTATGAACTTTGTGTTATGTCAGTATGTTTAATAGATTGTAATTAAGATAAAATTGTGTGAGACTAACTAATTATGTATCAGATGGATCACCTTGTAATATTATGAACGCCTTCTCCTCCGCAGGTTTTGACCACATCAATAAATATTGAATGCGTCAAAAGACGGTTTTCAATCATTCCCTTCGACTAGCCCAAAAAATTCTGAAAATTTGTGGAAAATTTAAAAAAAAAATTGGAGATTTTTTGAAAAATCGGAATTAAAAAACTGAAAATTTTAAAAAAATAATGAAAAAATTTTGAAATTTAAAAAAAAAAATTGAAATTTTTTGAAAATTTTCCCATTTTCGTTTTAAATGTAGGAAAATTTAGGACAATTTTGGGAATTTTTTTAAAAAATTTGGATTTTTTAAAAAAATCTAGGAAAATTTTTGACCTGGGACCTAGTCGGACATATTCCAACCAATTTGGACAAAAACCTATATAACCTAACCTAACTTAATCCAAACCTAACCCAGGGTGGGCCAGGTTGTGGCAGGGTGGTCCAGGTTTGGCCAGGGTGGTAGAGAATGAGAGATGTCTTCTATTTTATCAATAATAATAACTGAGAGTAGAAAATCGAGTATTCATAAGGAAATTAATCAACCACCTCGTATTTTTCCTAATACAATTGTCCATCACTTGACAGGTTCAGCTGGAGGATGAATATGAGGTACTACATGTAATCCAGGAGGGGTGGCGAGGCCGCCTCCTGCTGGTGGAGCACCGCAGGACCCGACATGAAGTAGTTCTCAAGGCCACACATAAGGACGCCACCTCACGCCTCGAGTTCTTTAGGGAGTTCCACTACAACTACTACCTCAGTCCTCACCACAACATACTCAATGCTTACGATGTGGCCTTCGAGGCTGGTGAGTATTATGTGTTTGCCCAGGAGTACGCGCCTTTTGGTGACCTTACTACTAACCTCTGTGACATAGGCCTCGGGGAAATCAACACTAAGAGGATCTCGCTACAACTTGCCTCAGCCCTCGATTTCATGCACTCCAAGGACCTGGTTCACCGCGACATGAACATGGACAACATTCTCATCTTCAAGAGTGACTTCAGCCACATTAAAGTGTGCGACTTCGGCTCAACAAGAAAGAAGGGAACACTACTGAAGAAAAGGACGGTGTGGCTACCTTATGCCCCCCCAGAGATTGTCGACGCCGTCCAGAATGAAGGATTTCATGCTGACACCTCACAGGTAACCTTCCTCCCTGCCATTCTACCTGAAGCCTCTCTCAATCTGCTTCATATTGAACCCTAGAGTCTAGCTAAAGAAACATATTTTAATCATAGTCTTAACATGACACAAGAAAGTTTTGCCAGATATTATATTTAGGCTTATTTTTCTAACATGCACAGGATTCATGACCTTATATAACTTTATACTATGGATCACATACACATAGTAATCACTGTGACTGTCTTCCTTCATTATCTGTTTAATCTGATGTGCCATCTCCCCACAGGATGTATGGCAGCTGGGTGTTCTTGTCTATGTGCTGCTGACGGGTCAGCTGCCGTGGCAGAAAGCTGACCTAACAGATCCTAACTATGCTGACTACATCAACTGGCGGAAGCGTCGCACACTGAGAACTCCCAAGAGATTTACCAACTTCACGTCACGTCTCTTGAGAATGTTCAAGCGCCTGCTGGAGCCCAAGCCTGAGAAACGGGCATCGGTGCGTGAGGTGTACAAGTACATGGATGATAAGTGGCTCCTCAAGCTGCCCAGACGTGATGTAGGGGACGTGGATGGTCAAAGTGTCTGTTATTCCACCTTTTCAGCACACTCATGTCCCAAGGAGAAGGACCGGGTCCTGCGGACCTTGAAGGCACACGGGATAGAGACAACAGTGGACCGCATTGCCAAGAGGCAGAGGATACACGAGTGGCTAGAACGTTCCTTGTCCTCCAGAAACCTCGGTGATGAAGAAGAGCGAGCCAAGGAGGAACTACAGCAAATAGAAGGAATAGCAGGACAAGAATTTCAAGTGAGTCGCCTCGCACGACGGTCACTGCCTACACAAGCACAGAGGCAGAGGAATGAGGCGATGCGGAAACAGTATGAGGAATTAACTGCTATGACCGTCAGGATGGTACAAGCAAAAGCTGCCACAATGCAAGTCCCAGATACCAAACCAACCAATGCTCAAGACAACAAACTGAGGAATGGTCATGTTCTCAAACAACCTCAGCAACCCATAACACATCCTCAGGACCAAATTAATGTAGCACCCACAAGCAGCACCAAAACCTCACATGTACAGGAGATTGTTGCACAACATAGAGTTCGGAACAATAGCCCCTGCCTCGCCCCACACTCTCAAAGACCAAAGGGTGAATCAGAGAGTCCACAGCTCAGCAGGCACGCACAGAGTCCTGTCCGAACTACCGATGTGTCCAGCCTGAGAAGCCCACAGGCCATTCGGCATGACAGGAGACAAGTTCACAGCCCGAGCCTGAAAAGGACGACAAGGCTGCGTAATCGGGGTGGACGAAATTGGTCTAGCGGTACCACAGAGTGCGGCTTTGAGCTGCAGAGAAGCAAAACTGACTCCTACTTCATCACAGGATCCACCAAAGGCCCACCCTCCAGGCAGACAAGTCAAGAGAGTGACTCTTCAGACACCAGCCTGAACAGTCTACAGCCGGTGGTGCTACGCTAGCAACTCGGGGAGGGGCAGGGTGGGGTACCATCCTACCCTTCTCACATTGCACACACACCACTCAGCCATTGTTCCAACCCCCATAATAAAATTCATGCACATTGTCCTCAACCCTTACACTAGAAACACCACTTAAAAAAAAAAATCGCTCACTCTCTCTCTCTTTCTTTTAGCAAGAATCACCACTCTTCCTCTTACCCCAGACTGAACTATCATTACCTTTTTTATGTTACAGACTCGATGGCTCGCCCACTTAACTTTCAACTCCACAAAAACTTTCCTTTCTATTACAATGCAAGAAAAAACATTTCTCAGCCATATTTACATAATAATTGTTTTACTGAGACTTTCCTATCTAGTTTGAATTCAAATAGTTTCAGAAAGATGATGACATTGTTACATTTTAGGTGTTTCAACTTGCCAGGGTTATGAAGCATCGGTCACTAGGTCTTAATCCTCATACCAGACAACTTATAAAGATTCTGTCCCTTTAATGTGTATAACATGTACATTTATATGTTGTTGTTTGTTGGGGTATTCAGTTGCCAGGGTTATCATGCAGTCAGTGGCCGACTGGGTCAAAAATTTCTACAGGGAAAACCTGTAAAATGGCCCACTCAGAAGGGTCCAAAATTGAAATTATCAATAAGCGATCTAAGAAATTGAAATGTGCTACTTGTTTGAAATTTATGTTGGAAAACAGCTTTTGTTCAAATTATGATAGAATGTAAACGAAAGTAGATATAAACATCCGGTTTTCGGTAAAAATAATCCGGAAGTCTCGCCGAGAAGGTAATTTCCGCCGGAAATCTCGTTCTGCGAGATTTGAGTCACTAGGCAATTGTAAACACATGGCGTAGTTTCAGGTCGCACTCGGGCGCATTGGTACGGACCTAGTAATTTTGCATTCGGTTGAATTAGAGCGGATTGAGTCCGCCACTACATGCAGTTGCTGTACCTTGGTCATAATTTCTTAAATAACCGATAAAATGTTCAGTTAATACATACCCTGTACTTAGTAAACAGTGTAAGTTATCAGGTGTTTCTATGGCTGATATCTTTAAGTAACATTCACTATGCTAGTACAGTATACAGTAGACTTATTAAGATTCATGCTTAATGATCTTGGTTACTGAAGCAGAGATACACATGAAAATTTACTGCCTAAGTTTTCAAATAACTGTTGTCTGATCTATCAGCTGATTTAAGGGTAGAGTTCGTGCTCAAACACCTCAGTTGTTGTAGACAAACGAATATATAACAAAACAACAGAATTAGATTTCCAAAATTGTTACAAAGTTAATAATTGTTAATGAGATATTAATTAAAACCACACTGTATAGAAAACTTTATAAAACCATGACCTATTGCACACACACGTCTTTACTATTTTGTTCTACAGCAGGAAGAGTGAGTACATACCCTCTCCACCATACTCACATAACACACACACACACACACACACACTGCCCTGCTGGTGCGGCCCACACTGCCTCACTGGTGCAAGTTTCACGGTAACAAAAATATTAATTTACAAAGATAAACCTTTACACACTTCTATGTAAGTGTTCCCCATCGGGTCTGTGACAATTACATACAGTAGTCCTTGGAATGTTCACTTGGACTGAGGATTTTTTGTTGTAGTGTTATGGTGAAGAAATTCTGCAAAATGTACATAAAATGCTGTGTTTATATTGAAATTATCATCAGTCCAATTGACATTTACATATTTGGTCCTGACCTCAGGTTCTTACAGATTTGTATGTTTCTCGATCTGGAAACAATGAAAACGTGTCTAACTAGTTCACTTTAAGCTACAAAACAAGTATCATCTCCCCCCCCAAAAAAATTAAATTATATAACAGATACCAACAGTATTACAAATGTTTGAGAAATTTAGATATAGATAAACACCATTTTAAAATGCAATATTTGTAATGATTTTTTATGATATATCTGGCTATATATATATATATATATATATATATATACATGCATATACAGTCAACCCTCACTTTACGGTTAATTCAACCCACAGGGTACCGCGAAAGTGAGAAACGTAAAAGTGAACAACATAACATATGGGATTAATTGAAATAGAGACCGGCCGACCCCCAAACTCCACTTTTGACGACACACAACTATGTTGTAGTAAAAATATTATCTTAACTTTATGATGGTATGCACACACAATTAATAATTAAGAGAAATATCAATAATATTGGGTTTTTTAACACTTACATTAGTAGAAAAGATGGCTGGGTACACGGGGATGGGCGGTTGGTTCCGAGGCAGAGGGCAGATTAATTATTGGCCCTCACCTGTATCACTTGTATCAATTGTATCACTATCCACCACAGAGGCTTGCAGGGCCTCTTTGTCAAACCCCTCAAAGTCCATATAAGTCCATATCCTCACTATAATTATCACTATCACTGACTTGGGCCGGCTGTGGTGGGTGGCGGGTGAAGAACTCGGTAATGTTTTGACGACTGGGCGACCTTGTGCGCACCATGCTCGCGCCGCTTACACAACATGGCGGATGGTGGGAGAGGGCGGGAGAGATGGCGGTCGGTTTGGATCCAAAAATGGCGCGGCTCGCCAGCTGCTCTCCGCGTAAAGGGGTACACGCACCGCGGAATGTGAGCATTCCTGTTTCGGCAGGGTACCGCGTAAACGCGGAATGTGGGACCGTGTAAAGCGAGGGTTGACTGTACTGTAATATATATATATATATATATATATATATATATATATATATATATATATATATATATATATATATATATATATATATATATATATATATATATATATATATATATATATATATATATATATATATATATATATATATATATATATATATATATATATATATATATATATATTGAGCTGACATTAGTCATGACACAACCATCTCCGCTTCACTGCATCAGTACAAACCTTCAGCTTCCCAAACAATAAACATGTACAGCTGTGCCAAGATAATTATTACATATATATCCTGACTGTGCTCAGCTCTCAATATTATGACCTTCATGTTGTAGTGATACTTTCTTCTATATTTTAGATTGATAAAGGATATATAGAAAAGTTTAGATATACAGTACACACCTAAATAGCAATAAACTTTATATGCTTCCAGTCTTATAATATTGTTGACTTAGGTGACGTTGTTTAGCCCAAAAAATCTTAAAAGCTGGATTATTCCAAATTATCAGAATAATCCACATGCCATAATCATTTATTTTAGATAAAATAGGTTTATAATGAGTGTAGATGTAGCGCTGGTGGCCCTGAGGAACACCACCACGTCTCTAGCTACGTGTTCTTCCTTGTCACTCTGTTCACCGTTCTACTTTTCAGTAAGATGTAAGCATTGTTGTCCATTTTTTTTATGTAATCTCATTTCTTGTATCTTTTCTAGGAACCTTTAATTTTAGATTGTCAGTTGAGTTGGGATGCGAGTCATCAACTCAGCAGCATGTTATAGAGGTAGATTTTGTATGTAAAAACACCAATGATTTTTATGACATTACAGTACAGTATTTTTAATTTACACCTTTATTTATTTGGTACCTGAGATAATTAAAACCTTTTTATCTGTATTTTTAAAAATTGTTTCTGTTTGATAATACATTTGCATAAATCATTGAAAAAATATTGCATCAATGGAACCTTATCAGTTAAAACTAAACAAAAATCATTTACTGTATATAGATGATGCTTAAAAGTTAAAGATCTATGCAAATTCTCATTAATACACATTTATCAATTAATGCGTAGTTGAATTAATTTGAGTTTATGTAATAGTACTGACTGCCAGGTACCAAATAACAATAATTAACAAGTACGTACAGTAGTATTTGATTTAGTTTGTTACTCAAGTGTAAAACTCTGTATGGACAGTGTTTCTTATTTCAGTCAACATTTATCTGTATAAACAGACACTGTAGCTTCCTATAATGAACTGGACTAGTGTGTTGTGAGGCATGATTGGATGGCAAGGGCAGGCTGTGCTGTGCTGGAGTGGGTCATAGATATGGCTAGGTACGATATTCATGTTACTCTGTGATTCTTGACAAATGTGCTGAGTGCCTATATATTATTATTATTATTATTATTATTATTATTATTATTATTATTATTATTATTATTATTATTATTATTATTATTATTATTATTATTATTATTATTATTATTATTATTATTATTGCTTTTGGTATGAACTAGTGTTTGTGTACAATCAAAGACAAAAGTTGTGTCGCGGTTTTGTCTGAAGAATAATATAACTCTTGAAACATTATGAGAGCCCCCTACCACAAGGCAGAGCACATATGTTTTCACCAAATTTCATGACAACTTTTGTCTTTCATTGTACATGAGAAAAAATTGGGTCACTTATCTACTAAACATAAACACTTATACAGATGTGCGGCAGAGACCTATGTGACTACGATATACATTACATGCACACATATGAAAAGGAATTAACCCGTGTTTTAAGGTACTGTATATTTTCTTAAGGTTCAATTGAGTTAAGAAACCACTGATTTGATCTCATCATCATTTTAAATTCATATTTCTTATGTTCTTTACTGCACCAAACATGGCTTTTTAAATCACGCATACAAAAATAATCAATTACCAGATACACTGAGCTTTCACTGAATGACACTTAGGAGAGGAGAGAGAATGTTGAGTAATATATACTGTATAGAGATTAATGGTTGTAGAATACAGTACAGTATTATATAAATTAAAAACAGTGAAAAAATAAAGAGGAAACATGTTTTTTGTTTGTGAGAGAGAAAGATATATACATATAGAGATGTTAAATGACAGAAGGAAAACTGGAAGGTTTATATAAAGTGAGAAAGTTAAACAATAAGAGAAAGCTTAGCATTAAAGTTATAAAACTAAGTTTTTGAGGAAGAATGAAAGGTAGAAATTCAAGTATGAAGGTTAGAAGTATTAAGATAAAGAAAGTTAAAAGTATTACAGGAAGAAATTTAACATACTGTAAAAAAGAAGAAAACTACATATGAAAGTTTGAAAGTTAAAAAGTATGGAAGTTACAAGAGGAAGAAAGACATGAATTATATTGGAGAGATGAAAACATGATGAGATAAACTAGTCAGTATGTTCATGTCCTCTACATAGTTTTGTATTTTATTGTATATAAATGTTTAAAATTATATGAGTGTTTCATTTCTCCCTCCATCACACTGCTGCTCCCACACACTACTGTTCCATCCCACTACTGCTCCATCACACTACTGCTCCATCACACTACTGTTCCATCACACTACTGCTCCATCACACTACTGCTCCCACACACTACTGGTCCATCACACTACTGCTCCATCACACTACTGCTCCATCACACTACTGTTCCATCACACTACTGCTCCATCACACTACTGCTCCCACACACTACTGGTCCATCACACTACTGCTCCATCACACTACTGCTCCATCACACTACTGCTCCATCTCCATCACACTACTGCTCCCACACTACTGTTCCATCCCACTACTGGTCCATCACACTACTGCTCCCACACACTACTGCTCCATCACACTACTGGTCCATCACACTACTGGGCCATCACACTACTGCTCCATCACACTACTGCTCCACACACTACTGCTCCATCACACTTCTGGTCCATCACACTACTGCTCATCACACTACTGGTCCATCACACTACTGTTCCCACATTACTGTTCCATCCCACTACTGCTCCCATCGCACTACTGGTCCATCCACTACTGGTCCACCTACTGCTCCATCACTCTGCTCCATCACTACTGCTCCATCACACTACTGGTCCATCACACTACTGCTCCATCACACTCTGCTGTTCCATCGCACTACTGTTCCATCCCACTACTGGTCCATCACACTGCTCCCACACACTACTGCTCCATCACACTACTGGTCCATCACACTACTGGGCCATCACACTACTGCTCCATCACACACTACCCACACACACTACTGCTCCATCACACTACTGGTCCATCACACTACTGCTCCATCACACTACTGGTCCATCACACTACTGCTCCATCGCACTACTGCTCCATCGCACTACTGCTCCATCACACTACTGGTCCATCACACTACTGCTCCATCACACTACTGCTCCCACACACTACTGTTCCATCCCACTACTGCTCCATCGCACTACTGGTCCATCACACTACTGGTCCATCCCACTACTGCCCATCACACTACTACTGCCCATCTACTGGTCCATCACACTACTGGTCCATCACACTACTGGTCCATCCCACTACTGCTCCATCACACTACTTCTCCATCACACTACTGGTCCATCACACTACTGGTCCATCACACTACTGCTCCATCCCACTACTTCTCCATCACACTACTGGTCCATCACACTACCGGTCCATCACACTACTGCTCCATCACACTAAGTACCAAAAAAAAAGTACCAAGAACAGACCAACTGCCTGAACAGTTAGTAAGTTGACAAGTGGTAAAATGATAAGTTAAAAATTTTTTCTAAATTGTCAAAAAAAATTGCTAGAATTAATGACATTATCGTGATGTTTGCTTCTTAGGTTTTTTAATTGATAATCATGGTAGGTTTAGCCTTGTCATGCTACATTTGAATAATATGTGCATGCAAGGGCACCTTTTATAGATTTTATTTCATCTTAATAAACCTCAAGAAGTTACTTCATCCTGAAATTGCTGATAGTATTTCTTCAGGTTATAGGTTACATGATTAAAATTTTTACATCATGTTAACTTCTTTCAAAAGCTTATGCTCTCTGGTCCCTATTTCAATGTTAAGTACTGTCCCGGACAAGGTATCTGGCAGGATATTGACAATTACCGTAGGTATCCAGTATCTAGCCGGATAACTGTGCATTGGTTTAATGACACATATATATATATATATATATATATATATATATATATATATATATATATATATATATATATATATATATATATATATATATATATATATATATATATATATATATATATATATATATATATATATATATATATATATATATATACATATATATATATATATATATATATATATATATATATATATATATATATATATATATATATATATATATATATATATATATATATATATATATATATATATATATATATATATATATATATATATATATATAATATAAAAAAAAAAAAAAAAAATTTTTTACAATATACTGTATTTAACTAAAGCTCCAAAACTAGAGTGAGAAAACCCCAGTAGTTTTATACAAACAGCACCAATTTACCTTGAAGAGGCAATAGCCGAGATAATTTTTTCTCCAAGACATTCCTATAACTCACTTGCAACATATGTCTCAGACACAACAGTTCTTCCTGCCACCCTGGCGGACAGTTCCCTTCGACATCACAATGCCGACATATCTGCCTAAAAAATCAATTATACAAAGTATTTATCTCCAACACACTGCCAAAGTGAGAGCTCTGAACACATACACACTCTACAGACTGATGATAATATCACACAGACCATCTACACTGATGGATCTCTTAACACCGCCTGTGAGGCTGAAAGTGCTATTGTTGTGACTCAACGACGGTAATATAAATGAAAATGAGTTAGAATTAACAACTGGGCATCCACTTACAAACTGAAATAGTTGCCCTACTCACAGCTATTAAATTCATTGAAACCACTGTCACTGACAGTCTCATCATCACTGACTCTCTATCCTCACTACTTGCCCTTGACACCCTCGACCAAGTTGTCACGCTCTTGTTTCTAGCCAGACACAAATATGCACTTTGTTGGGATCAAGGTCAAACTGTTGTGGATCCCTCTCACATAGCCTCATAAAACATGAGAGAGTGATGCCCTCACCAAACTCGAGATCTAGCAAAGACACCGTTGAATACAATTTGGGTCTGTCAAAAAGAACCTTAAAACAGTAATTAGGAAAAAACTTATTGATGAATTTGGCCTTAAGTAGACAAGTGCAAACAGGCACTAGTCGATCCATAGTTTACCATGATGAGATGTATCAAGTGAAACATGTATATGGAGCAAGTAACAAGATCACTCGATTATAAGATGTTATAACTGCTAGATTAAGGTTAGGATATAAGTACCTATGGCAGTATGTTCTTCAAGCAAATGTGAACAAGACTAAATGTAAAGTGTGTGACCAGACGTATAGCCACACACTTGAACACTACGTCCTCAACTGTGTGAAGATAGAACCTTGGGACAGGTCCAAGCACACTGTGTGTGAAATATAACGCTTCATCTCTAATGGCAAGATAGCCGACATATTAAGATTGTATCCACTTTTTTGCAATTAGTAACTATATCAGTTCTCATGTATAGAACCAAATACACAATGTGCTTGAATACTTCTCACGCAAATGTGAATAACAAAGTGTGCGGTCAGACATACTGCCTCACACGCCTGTACACACGCATTTGTGAATAAGTTACCCTTTATGTATAGAACTAAACAAATAATGTACTGTAATTGAAATACTGTGTGACATTCAGTGCCATTATATCCCGACAACGGGGGTTAATTATTATGACCCGTTGTAAACTCTACTCTGTAATCCTTTTGTGCTACCGCTCACAGGATGAGTGCAGGGTACACAATGAAGTAGCGGCTGTAAGCGACAAAATAAAAAATCAATCATAAAGAACCATCTGTAAACGAATCAAATACACAAATATATATATATATATATTAATATACAGTACAGAGTTTTAAAAAGTATTGGACTTTGTTACTTAAGTAAAAGTATTGTTACAGTGGCAAAATGTTACTCAAGTAGAAGTAAAAATATCCAAAGGTCAATGTACTCAAGTATTAGTATAAAAAGTATCTCATTTTTAAAATACTCAAGTACTGAAATTAAAAGGAACAATAAATTTATTACTTGTCTCGACTAAAATAAATCAGCAATTAAAAAATAATTTACTAAAGACAAAAATAAAAGACACAGCATTACACATGTTTATTTGCAAATCTTTCTACTCACTAATCAATAACTGATTCTCAAAATTATGGCTGTCCAATCAGGATCTTTTGTGCCTAAATATAAGCCCAGCATGACCTACTGAGAGAGCTTTCTGTAATAGCACCCTTACATTTTGTAAAAATTCACCCAAATGTATAATGCCAAATTATTCACTAAGTTATTCAACAATGACTCAGTACAGGTTGTACCTCTCTAGTCTGGCAACCTCGGGACCTGACCGGTGCCGGACCATGAAATGCCGGACCATGGAAATTCACCCTTTTCCTGGATAGATAGTGACTTGTGCTTATGCTTGGAAGCACTAGCACCACTTTCTCTGCATCATGGTCTCTTTGAGGACATATTGAAGGGTTAAATGTCGGTATAGTAGCTTCTCAAATTCGCGAGGTTTTAATTCAACATGATTTTATTGGAACACACACACAAAAAAATAAATAAAAATTTTGACAGCGGAACAATTTCGGCCAGGTTTGAACGGCGCCAACATGCAGGACGACGGTGCATATCGTGTAAACGAGCGTCATTTCTCTTATATACAAAGATTCATTATTGTTTATTACTGAATGTCTTTTTATTGAATTAATGTTTTGTGTGCAAATGAGCAATACAATTCATTAATAATACGTAGAATATTAAAACACAGGAAATGACACAGCATTGTTTTCGTTGATTACAAACCAGTGACTGACTGGTTCTACATATAAAACTGAAGAAAATAAGACCTTGGTTGTAACTGTAGTAAAATTAATATGATTGTTTTTAGTAATGTTATTTAATGTTAATAAATGGAACAATAGAAGTAGCTACGATAATGGTAAAGAAAGAGAGATCAGCGTATGTAAGTGCTGTGCATAACATATCGTCATTACTTTACATAAGAATATGAAAGCAACACTTATTTACTGCTCATATATATTGAAGGGTTAAATGTTGTACTGTACTCTGTATAGACAAGCAGAGAGAGAGCAGCGAACTGCGGATGTAAACAAACCTTAATTTCAGCGGCTTTGTTGTTGTTGTTTTTATGGGGATTAGCCCACCGGGCATAGGTCACTGATGACCCAATGGGGCCTCAGGGCAAAAAATTTAATACTCCTGTAATAATAATAACAACTCAGATAAGTAAAAAAAAAAAAGAAAAAAAAAAACTGCCTATCTACCTATTGGACAAACTAAAATCGTTCCGGACCACGGACCACAGAATGCCGGACTAGAGAGGTACAACCTGTAGTTATTCATGTCATACATGCCGAGTCTATATTTTCATCAGAGGTTGAGCCAGGTCAAGCCCGCTCCTCCTTGACTCTCATGCTCTGAGCGAGAAGAGGGAGCAGGCAGACTCTTATCACTAGTTACCCAGTGAACACCTCACTTAGTGTTCTCATATATAAGTGCATTCAAGACACTTCCCCTGGTAGAGAAGGCATAATATACTCTCAACCAAACAATAAGGAAAAAAACAGCAAAGTGTTTACTACAGCCCAGCCACTTAAGAGTTCCAGAACTTATTTAAAACAATTAATGTAATACAAAAACAGCTATTACATTTGGTGGCAATGCAGTGAGACGAATAACACAACCAGTCAGACACTCAGAAACAAATAAAACAAGCGATTCCAGTGGCTTAAGTGGCACTTTAGGTGAATCATCAACAAACAAGTATTTACAAGAAAAATAAGTGGACAGTGGCTATAAACACTTGCCAAACGTATACACAGAGCACAGTGGTAACAAAAAACATTATAAAAGATTGCCAACTTAAGGCCGATTCACACTATCCATCCATGACGACAACGGTCCGTCAAAACTGCAAGCATTCACATCTTCGTCACCCGTTCCGCCAGCGTCGGTGATTGTATAGCCGAGTATATAAATGGCGCCATATTCATTTAGCAAGAAGAAACTTGCAGTTATTGCACTTCTTTTGGATGAGGAAGAAGCAGAGAAAAACAAAAATAAGAGACTGGATTCAACAGTGTTTAAGAAACAGAAAAACTGAAGAATACTGGACTTTATTCAAGGAGCTTGTAGATGAACTGAAATTTTACCAGTATCATAGTTATTCAAATCCACGAACCAGTTCAATTAGCTGTTCGTCCATGATGTGAAACAATAGTGAATAAATCAACTAGGCCTATATCAAGCTGTAGACCCTCCCGCCTACTCTCTAGGTCGAACGGACAGTTACTGACCTCGTGTCTGTTCACAAAATCCATAACGTATCAGAAACGGTGCAGCACGAAAACGTTTCATCACATCAAAATATTCTCCTGGAGATACCGAGCAGTGACGGAACCGAACTGATATGTGACGGTGACATGCCGGTCAGGTGTGAACAGTTCCATTTGATTACATGTAAGAAATTTTGACGGACTGTTGCCGATCAGTGATGTTACCAATACGTGATGGATAGTGTGAATCGGCCTTTAGCAATCAAACCCTGA